AGTGAAAAAACACCACAATCAGGATAGCTAACATTTCCATCCCTCCCCAAGAGGCGCAAATTTCAAATTGCCAAAACTGAGCTGTTGTTTTGACACCACCTTTTTGCTTTCAAGAACAGTTGACCAACACCTATCCAAACCCTCTTCTGCACCTGGTTAAGGACCACAAAAGCATAATTGGTAAATAACAAAGAATTAGTTTCTTTGGACCCACAACTTTTACCATAAATATTACAAAAAAAAATTTTGCCCCCTTGCACCTTATTAAACAAAGGATTAACTTGCTAGGTCATTAGATTTAGTACTGAATAAAGATCTGGGGAGGGGATGGAGAAAACACACTTTTCCCACTGATAATTAAAGCTTGCGCACTGCTCTTTATAAAGGCACGGAGGAAGCTGGATCATTAACTGCACCATGCACATTTCCTGGAAATTTTAAACAGTGCTTCAAGGATATACATGTCACATCAAACAAAACAAAACTTGAGGAAGAATCTCTAAAAGGTTAAGTTTCCATCCTGTTTGAACATTTCTGAAATAAAGTCACAAAATGGAAACTCACCCAAAGTTTGAGGGACACACATATGGCAGCTTTCTGTATTTTGTCTATTTTCATTCTAAGTAGAAGTTGACAAATTTCGTAGTCAATTAAAAGCCAAATGGGATGAGGCCCATATGGAAAATGACAGACAAAGGTATACTGGTAGACTAGCAGTAATATTTTTTATTGCCTGCTGGCCAGGTGGAAAACTTTTAAAGACCCAATTACGATGTCAAAATGGTAGACACTTCATGGCTTTGGATTAAAAGGTATACTTTAGTATCTTTTCATACAATTTGGAAAGTGACCATAAAAATGGTATAGACCAAATGTGCATTGTTTTTGTGTATCTGTGTACACACACCCCTATACAGATGGATTCACCCTTATCTGTATCTGTATTCCCCTGCATTGTAAACTGACTTACTGCTTCTGAAAACTCAAAGCCACATTTCATCAGGAAAATGTCCACTTACCTTCATTCTTGAAACTCCTAATGATGTTGGCAGAAGGCATGGAGGTCCGATCTGTGGCAAATTTGTTGTAGAGTTCCAACATGTACTCTGGTGGGTCAATCTTGGCTGAATCTTGCATCGGGATGTCAGACAGATTTAACGTCTTGAGGAACTCGTGTTTCATGCTCTGTAGCAGTGTGTTAAAGTCGACACCGTCTTGCTCTGAGAAGACATCGTCAAAGAGGGGCATGTCTTCTTCCAGAGGCGACTGCTCCAGGCTCAAGATGGGGCTGCCAGAAACCCAGTGAACCACCAGGCAGGAGACAGCGCACAGCTGCAGGGCCAGGGCACCCATGGCTCTGCTCGAGCCCCCAGGCCAACCCGGGAAGGTTTAGCGCTCCTGGACTCCAAGTGGCAGTTTTATCTGGCGGAGCGTAAATGTCTCGTGTCACTGGAGACAAGTTTGGAAACTTCCCCTCTCTCCCTCCCCCTACCACTCTTCCTCTCCCCATCCCAAAAAGTCAGGTTGCAGTAATTGGATAACAAAATCCCCCACAGGGGCCTAGCCTTTCTTATCTCCCTAGTGTAAACTCGCGCACCAGATTTTGTTTCTATCTTGCAATCCTTTTTTCTTTTAATGAGCATTTTGTAAACATTTCCACATTCTGACACTGGCTGAGAGATAGGACAATTTTCTCCTTGCAAAGGCTCTGCTTCTCCTCCTTTTAATTCACTTCCTTTTGGCAGGGATGCCTAAATTCTGCTCTGAGGCAGTTCCGTTTCACACACGCATGTAATCGACATTAGCAATCAACACAGCACATCAATGGCAACACGTCATTAACGCGAGCGATGGGACTTTCATCCTCACAGAAACATCTCTGAAGAAAGACCAAATAGCCGACATCTCCAATTGAATAGGTATAAATGAACTCATATACATCTTTAGAAGCTGGTATTGTTAGAAACAGGAAAGTATAAACTTTATGGTCAATAACCTTTTTTGTACAAATTTGATCTGGCCAAAATGGCTTTTGAAAAATAGGGCAAGTACTTCATATGACAGCAACTACAATTTATTAGGTGCTTTCCTACAAGCAGGCATTGTGCTAAGTGCTTTGCGTATATCACCGAATGTCCTTCCTAGAATAACCCTTTTATTATCCGCGTGGCATATATGGGTCACTTAGTTTCAATTAGTTGCCAGAGGTCACAAAGCTACAAAGTGACAGAGCCAGGATTTGAATCCAGGCAGTCTGACTTTTATGAAACAAGAATACAATCAGACCTTTTAAACATTGTTCCCCTAGGCTGGGTCACCAGCAGTCACTAACTAAGCCCTAGCCCAGCCCAGCCCTGCCCCAGGGAGGGCGCGCACAGCCAGGAGAGGCCGGGCAACACTTTACAACTGGATGTGGAGCTCAGGTCCTTCACCTGTGTGATGAATTACTAAGACAACCCAAATCTGCCAAATCCATCTTGATGGTTAAATCAAATTGATTATCAAATGATTCCAGTAAGAGCCTGGCAAACAACATATTAGGCAAGTGAAAAGATGCCAAATGCCTTGGTCTGAAAAACAATGGTAGAATTAATTGATTGTGTGTCTGGTGTAGGGAAAGACAAATCAAGGTCATTTTACTTTCCAACCATGATTGGTGGTGGTGGTAACACGGTGTGGCCAGGGCGGTCCTGTGGACAACTCCAGGGGGTATTTTTCCCACTGAGGCACTGGGACTGGTGTCTCCCTGACTTGTTCAGTGCACGCCCTGGTGCTGCGTCCAGAGGGCTGTGTCTATACATTTGATGCACCTGGAAAGAAACACCCAGCTTCTGAGTTGAATTTTCCTACATTCACCCCGTAGGATAATTACAGTTACTTTCCGTTTTCTCTCTAGGCTCCTTAAGGTTTATCATAATAAATAAACTTCTGATTCTTCACCCTCTGAATATGCACATTTTTCAGCATTTTTTGAACTTCCAGAGAATGAGCTATATTTTCAGTAAAAAAAAAAACTCTCCAAAAATTGCTCACTTGTTTCATAATTGTTGATTTGATTCAGTGTTCTATTTCAGTTAAAGCTTCTGCTCCTGCATTAAGAAGACCATTGTAGACTGATAATAGATTTTACCCTGAACAGACCCACAAGTGAGTGAGTCCAAGGGCTGTAACCCATCCCATGGGCTTTGCCGTGAGACTCCTGACAGCATACCAGCAGGGCCCCTGTATCACACCCAGCATCAAAACAAGCTCCCGTTTATCTTCACACACACACACAGATGTCAACGCACACTCCAAAACCCTGAACGGCAGGCATGTGCGCGTAACTGCCACAGGACAGCTGAGTAAGTGGCGGTACTTGTAGCCCGGGCGCGCTGGTTTCAGAGGTCAGGAGGAGAGCCGGGCACGCCCCCCTGCAGAGTCCTCGCTCTGTCCATTCTCATGGGTAAGACGTGCAACTGCGATTTCACTGGCTTCCCTGTATCAGTGTCAGAGGAGCAATGGGGTTCCATATCTGGACCAGTTTCCCCATCACAAATGTCTCTTTTGGGCTGATTTAAAGACGGACTAGAAAAACGTCTATAACTACATCTCAGTGCCAATGACCTCTTGAAACGCGAGGTCCTTAAGTTCCTTACCTGTGCTGTGTGGACAAGGCGGATTAGACTCCCGAGTGGACAAAGGGGACACAATTTCCTCCCTCTTCTAGGCTGGGGACGCCTCACATTTTAGCTGCAGAATCTCTTTATCCCCAGATTTCTCTAGTCTTTTCTGATAACTCTCACCTGACTCTAAAAAGTCCAAATATCACCACATTCCTTTGCCATCTTGCTTTTTGTGGACACAATCTCTTCTTCTAAATTGGCAGGTGGGATGATAAAAAAAAATACTTAGCAAGCTGTATGATAGGTCCTAGCCAACCAAAACAGACACTAGCTGTGGTGCCAAAGCGAGACCCCAGGATCCCCAGGCTTCACCTCTTAAGCTCTGGATCCTGGGGAGGTTGGGGTGGGATGCTGGGGGAGGGGCTTGGGCAGCAGCGGTTTATCAACAGTATGGGAATATTCTGATACTTTAGCATGGTGTCGTACTGTTACACAATGTATAACAGGCGAGTATAAGTTCTGCTGAAGATTCTGAAGCCAGAGTTCTACAAGCTGCGTGCTGTTAGAATTTGTAAGCTCAGTGTGAGGCTAGATGCTAGGTCGAAATTTCCTTGACTGCTACAAAATCTGTTCCTGGCTGCCCTCTTTCTCCAGTCCAGACCTTGCCCACTTTACCCAGACCCAGGAAGCCCTCTGGGGTGCCTTTGTCCCTGGGGTGGGTCACAGAGCTCCTGTTCTCCTCCTGTGATGCAGTGGGCCCGGCACCGCCCTCTAGGACTAGAAGTTGCCTTGACAGTTCTCATTCACTCCGTCGTCCAGTCCACATTCTCAGTGTGGGAAGTGTTCCCTTGCCTCTGCTGACCTCTCAGCATTTAGGTTGCTGCTGACCTGAGGCTTACCCGCCTGCTTAGCGCTTCTCATGGGCTTAACACACAAAGGCCATCTCCTCGTCTCAGCTCCTCTGATGCATGCGATTTAAAGAGTCCCTTAGTGCCCTCCTTCAGTAACCTTCCGCGTGGTCCCCTCACTCACCAGTAAAGCCTGGCATATGAATCACCATCAATAACTGTCAGCTATTTAAAAAAAATTCAGGCCTTTGTAACAGTCATTCATTCAACTGGATTTCTTGTGTGTCCCCGCGCTGTGCCAGGTGCACAAAAAACCTGAAGAATACGGACCAAATCCCTGACGGTGTGGAGTTTACGCCTCAGTTGGAGGGAGAGAGACAGTAAACAAATACACAGATAGAGCCAAGTCTCTATTGGGTGGTGATGGGTGCAGCAGGGAAAACAGACTGAAGCAAAGGGATGGGAAGGGCGAAGTGGGCGGGGTCCTGTTTCACTGTCAAGGCCTCGCTGGTGGAGGTGGGTGAGTCCGCCGTGCAGGCCCACGGAGGCCCCTGGAGAAAGAGACCCGCAGGCTGAGGGAGCAGTCCATGCGAAGACTCTGAAGTAACAGCAAGCTGGGGAGGCATGAGCATCAGTGAGAAGGTCAGGGTGGTTACAGGCAAGCAAGGGGAAGAGCTACAGGAGATGAGGTCCAAGAGTAAGTGGGCTGAACAAAAAGCAGACAACCCAATCAAAAAATGGGCAGAAGACCTAAACAGATATTTCTCCAAGACCTACAGACGGCCAATAGGCATGTGGAAAGATGCTCAATATCACTAATCATCAGAGAAATGCAAATCAAAACTACCATGAGGTATCAGCTCACACCAGTCAGAATGGCCATCATTAAAAAGTCCGTAAGTGATAAATGCTGCAGAGGGTGTGGAGAAAAGGGAGCCATCGTACACTGCTGGCGGGGATGTAAATTGGTGCAGCTTCTATGGGAAACAGTATGAAGAGTCCTTAAACAACTAAAAATAGTTACTATATGATCCAGCAATCCCACTCCTGGGCATATATCTGGAGAAAACTCTAATTTGAAAAGATACATGCACCCCAATGTTCATAGCAGCACTATTTACAATAGCCAAGACGTGGAAACAATCTAAGTGTCCATCAACAGATGACTGGATAAAGAAATGGCAGTATATATACACAAGGAATACTACTCAGCCATAAAAAGAATGAAATAATGCCATTTTCAGCAACATGGGGGCACCTGCATCACTATGCTGTACACCAGAAACTAACACAACATTGTAAATCAACTATACTTCAATTTAAAAAAAAGAGTTGGTGGTCTGGAACAATTAGAAGGTCATAGATCTTTTTATTTTAATAGTCAGACTGTACAAATGCATAATTTGCCTCTTGGTTTTTTTCTGAACATTCCATCTTAAGGGTTTTTCATGTTGCCACATAGTCTTTACAACTATTAATTAATAATAAAATTGCCTAATTCCGTTGGGCAGAATGGAATCATTAGTTTTTAAAGTAGTAAAGGAAAACTTAACAATTCTATTGAAATGTAAAGACACTGAATATTTAGATTTCAAATGCAACTGCCGAGGTATTCTAAGCTTGACAGCACTTGTTCATATACGTGCTGACTTGAAATGCGGGTTCAAGAAGAATGCAGGATGCTGCAGTAACATTTGTTCCCTATGAATACCACCAGTCTCAGAAATACGTGGAGACTGTCTGGGTCGCGTAGCCTCTTACCTGGATTGTAGTGACAGGCTACTAACCGATTCTGCCTTCACCTCCTAACAGTCTGTCCTTACTATGGAAGCCAGGTTTTGATCCCACACTGGATCATCACTCCTTTCCTCACTCAGAGAAAAGGATGAAGTCTCGTGAAAGTCCCCGAGACCCTCCAATGCCTCTCTGACGTCACTGCCACTTGCTAAGTCCACTCCAGCTCCAGTAGCCTCCCTGCTAATCCTTAAACACCCCATGCGTGTTCCCATCTTAGGGTCTTTGCTTCAATTGTTCCTTCCACCTGAAACAACCTTC